GGGAGATGGCGGCCGAGGGGCAGCCGGGCCCCGGCGAGCTGCTGCCGCCACCCCCCCCGGCTAACAACACGGGGGGAGCCCCGCCGTGTCTCCCCGCCGGCACCTGGGCCTCTCCCGCCCTGGCGCTCCCCTCAGGGCTCGCCATGGCTCCAGGCCCCGTCCTGCTCCTCAGGGCGCCAGGCCCTGCCCGGCCCTGCCCTGTCCCCAGCCCGCCCTGACGCGGGAGGCACGTCCCTTGTCATCCCCTGGGTGGCTTCCCACCGCAGCCTACACCTGGCTTTCCTCAGGCAGCGCCTGCCCCATCTCTTCCAGGGGGTCGCAGCCCCTCCAGCAGTACTGACAGCAGTTTGCATGGCAGCCACAGCAGCTCAAAGGGGCCTCGATTCCCCAGCGGTGCCCAGCGACCCTGCTGGGAAGGAGCCTTTGCTGGGAAACGAGCTGCAAGGCCTCTCGGGAGGTGTCAGCCCTAAAAGCGGGCAGAATCTGCTGGAGCTGGAGAGGAGCTGTCTGTCGGGGGTAGGGAGCACTCGGGTTAGAGGGCACTAAGCGTGGCATAAAGCCTGGCTTCACCCCGGGGCGTTGCGGTGACAGACAGAGCAGTCAGACATGTTCCTGGAAATCAAAATGATAAAATATTAGGCTATCTCAGAGATTACTCATGAAGAATCCACTGCAGCTGCTTTTAAAGATAACCTATCAGCAGAGTGCCTCTTTAGCAAAATGTTTTCATGGGGGTGTGGATGTTTTAACATCATCTGCTTATAGCCTGAAATTCTGTTCCTCAGAAGGCTGGGAATTAGACAGGAAAGGGAGGAGAGAATGAGGATGCTTCCAGGGACAAAGCTCATCGTCCTGCTCCTGTCTCTTGCAGTAGAGGACACCCTCAGCCTGTAGGTTCAGACTATAAAGTACTCGGAAACCTTTCCTGCAGATCATTTGGGGAGTGGGAAGGCTTGAATGTGGCATTTGCACTATCTCTAAAAAGAGTCTGTCAGTTCACTGGCTTGATAAGCTTTATCTTGTATTTGTCTGTGGAATAGATTGTTAGCCCTGCCTGCCATCAGTATGGGAAGGGGTGCATCTTTTGTCCAGTTTCATCCTTTATAATCTCCAAAACAGTTTGCCATTCAAACCTTTCTTAATGTGCAAAAGTGAGTATATGTATATTGGGAAAAGATAAAATTTGAATTGTTCTTTTTATTTAAGGCTTGCAACAAAGAAGACAACTTGCTGTTCCACAAACCTCTTGCTCTGGGTCCTGGTGCTCTCTGCGAGCACGCTGAGTAAAGTGAAATTCATGTCTGAGGACCAGTTATTGGGGCAGGATGGAGAGCTTGGGCTTGCAAGCAGTGACCCTTAGTGACGGGACGACAGCCTACATTCAGCAGGCTGTCAAAGGTAATGGTTCATTTGGGCTGCAAAGTCTAAAAGTCTCCTGATTGACACTGTGAAATTAGTCAGACTTATCAAAAGTGCCCTCACGGCAAGTGAGCTCTCATGTATCTTGTATGGTTACTTGGTACAGGAAGCTAGCAGCTATCTGTTAGATTTGCACAGAAGAGTGAGATGGCAGAAATAAAACATGCCTCTCATTTGGAAATAAAGATTTGGAGATGGGAGAGCTGTTGCTGTAGAAAATGAAGGTTCTCTTCAGACTAGAGTGAGCCCTGTTCTCCCCAGGGTAACTGGGGAAATGGGAGTTCACACTATGGCCTGCAGGACCCTATTCAACCAAAACTTCACCTGAAGCTAACCACTTACTTCACTGAGATGCATAGAATTTGGTTCACAGTAGTGTTTTTCTCACTCAAAGGGGTGCTGAGCTTGGCATTGGTTAACTGAAGTAATATTAGTGCCAAATTCAACACCTGGCCTTATTTTGGTGTTTGTGAGGTGCTCCTTCCTTCACCACCCACTGTTCCTGAGAAAAGGAACACACTGTTTCCCAGCCTGTGGAACAGGATGGTTGAGTTGTGAGGCTTCATGTCCTGGGGATTGCTTTCTTGCTCTCTTTTCTGTGCAAACTCACTGCAAGTTTATTACATGTGTGGCGCTGGACTATCTTGAAAACCACAAGGTTTTGTGACCCCCCCAAACATTGTGCACCAGGTGAAAGCAACCTGGATTCCTCTGTTCAAAGGGATAGACCAGTGTTCTCTCTGCATCAAATAATTTGCTAACTTAAACATTATTACAGGGTTACTCAGAGTTACACTATTTTAAGAGTCCAGTCTACCATCAGGGGTCCTGTAATTTTTTTTCAGGAGTTCATCCTCCACCAAAGCAGAAGAAAATAAATCTTCAGGCCCTTGCTGATGCCATTAAAAGCTCCCACTTTATTTTTTTTCTCCAGCACAAGTGTAATTGCTTTCTACTTTAGATCCAAAAAGCTTAGCACACATCATTCTTTCTGCTTCTTGGCTTACAGAGCTGTGAAGGGCAGCCTGTAAACAAGTGATGACTGAGGTTCTTTGTGTTGTATCCTCCTGTCTAGGAAAGGGGAGCTCCAGCACTTCTGGGAAGTTAAGTGCCTCTATGGCTATTCAGGGGAAAATTTGATAAATAACAGCTTATAAGTAACAGTTTCGCTGTCTTCGCGACTGGTTTCCTTGCAAAGATGCAGCAAAGGGGACAGCTCATGGGACCAGGAAGACTGGACTCTGCAGGCAGTGCTGATGGCATTTTTTTAACTGTTTCAGGTGAAAAGCTGATTGAAGGGCAAGTCATTGAACTTGAAGATGGGACCACAGCTTATATCCATCAGGTGACAGTTCAGAAAGGTGAGGACCATAAATTCACCTCTTTTTAGAAGGATGTTGTAGATGTAACGGCAATTGTCTGTGTTCCAACAGTCGGGTTCCTTTATTAGCTTTAAGAAGTCCTTACAGGTGTAGGGGGTTTTTTCTTGCCCATGGTTTTGAGGTTGAATGAGCAAGGACATAGAACATGTGATTTCCTGCAAAGTTTTTAGCAATCTGACAAGAAGGCGAATTTGCTGGTGGTGTGAGCAAATGTTTAAGTGTTGTTTCACCTGTGGGCTCTCTCACAGTTGTCAGTCTGACAGCTCCCAAGTCTACAAGCAAGGCTGGTAAGCTCTGTGCTGTGTTTGTGCCAACTATAGAGCCCAAACAAAGTTCGTTTCACGTGGGAGCAGTTGGACAGGAATTTCCTCTGAACTGTGAGATAATATATTACTTCTGGAATAGGTGTTTGGTGGGGGAGGGTGGGGATTGTTGGAAGCAATACCACCTTGGTCATTGACCCATCAGCCAATGTCACCTCTGAAATGAGGTGACATTAATTAATTGGAGAGGTGATGGGAATTCATTTCATGTGGGAGGCACCAGAGTGGCACAGAGAAATACTCCCTGACCATGATAAGATGTAAAAGGGCAGGTAGTAGAAAAACCTCTGTTGCTTTGTGCAGTCCTTCCTTCACCCTCCCAAGCAACTTCTATGCCACCTCCCTTTTCTGTTCTTAAAAAGTTGCTTGAAACCCACTTTGTATGCCTGGCTGTGTCCCTTCCCTCCCTTCATCCTGTTCCCTGCCTCCAAATGCACAAGCACAGTGAGATGGGTTTTCCTTCTCCCCCATGCTGCCGTGGGATGTTTGTGTTCTCCTTTACATACCCCTGTGCCAGAGCCGTTGTTCTTGTCTAGGACATAGTCTGGCATTTTGGAATTGGTGAGATACTGCATTACCCCAATGAGCTAAAGAAGTGTGGTGAGTCTATGCATGAAGCCTTAAAAACCTCATAATTCATGTCAGAAGGGCTCAAATGGTGTTTTAAAACCTATAGCTGTGGTTGACCTTCAGTGCAAGCAGGCAGCCCTGCTGTGTCCTCTTCTGTGGGTGTGAATACTGTAGGGTTCAGGAACTGATGCAGTATCCCCTCCATCCCATCTGAGTCTTCCAGTAAGGTGGGTGAATTTTTTTCTTTTTCTTTAGAGTCTGTGGCTTTTGAAGACGGTCAGCCAGTGGTGTTGGAAGATGGCAGCATGGCCTACATACACAACACGGCTAAAGGTAAAGAGTGTTCCCTGTTCTTCCCTTGGCAGCTGGAGTAAAAGCTGCTAAAGTGTCACAGATTTCCAAGGCTGTAGGTAGTCCAGGGAGACGAAGAGTGCCTCGCACTCAGCAGCTCTTTTACATTTGATTTTATTGGTTTCCTCTTGTAGAAAGTTATGACCCCAGCACCTTTGAGGCCATCCAGCTGGAGGATGGCTCCACTGCCTACATACATCGTCCTGTTATCATGCCACCTGGCAGCACCATCCTGGAAGTGCAGGCAGAATCTGGGCTAGAGGAGTTGGCTGGAGAGGAGGCAGACGATGCCTTTGATGTTGAGACCATTAATGCATTAAAGCAGTACGCCAGTAAGGTGAGGAAGCAACACTTCTTTCATGGTCTGCCAGCAGTGCTGAGGGGCTGGTGTAGTCCACCTTTGGCCTGGGGTTTAAGTGTCCTCCTTCATTAGTACTTCTGTATATTTGTTTTTCATCAGTGCCAGCTTTGAGAAGAGAAACTGGACAGGGCTCCAGTGAGAGTGCCACCACTGACAGGTGGCTGACAGTTAAGGACCTAGAACGGGGCAGTTTCCTGCTGGACCCTCTAGCTAGTTCCTACAGAGTTCTGGGCCTGCCACCCTTAACCTGCTGCAGGCCCAGATTTGGGAAGAGCAGAGAGCTGCTGTGATACAGCTTGGGTTTTTTTTTTTTTCTTGCTTTAAATGTCCCTCCTTGTAGGTGTTCTCTTTCTGTTTGCCTGGGTTTCTCATAATGCCATGTGGGTTTGATGTTCTTTTCCACAGATGATTCAGGCAGCAGATCGAGACTAGCCTTTTACATATCAGGAGTTGCTAAGTTATGGTCACTGTTCCCCATGTTGACAAAGGCCTCAAAAACCAAAATAGCTTCAGATCCTAATGTGTTGTCACTGCAGTGCCCCATCTGAATGTCGTGGGTGCTACCATTTTCTCCCATCTTCATGGTGGTGTGTGAGAAGGGGCTACCAGGAGTGTGCTGACAGTGCTCAGCTGGGCAGCATTAAGATTTGCCAGTGGAGACCTTTCTGCTGTGGTAGGACCAGCCTCCCCTAGCTCTCTGGAGAAGAGGGGAGTGCCACTGCTGATGTGAATGCTTTCCTGCTTGGGTTGCTGCATGAACAGTGCCTGTGCTTCTTTACTTGCAGGTGTCTGACGAGGAAGAGGAGGGAGTGACAGACACCTGCCGTATGAAGAGTGAGGACTCCAGCAACATCCCTTCCCAGGTCTGAATTTTTCAGTGATGTATTTCTGAAACTAGGCCGAACTTCTCTTGATGCAGAGTGCTTTGCCAGCTAGTAATTAAAAAAGCTTTGTGGCTTCTCTGCAAGGTTAGCAAATATATTAGCTGCAAGTTTTACAAATTAACTAAGTGAAGCACAGAGAGGTGAGTTACGTGCCTGAGAACACCCAGTGAGCTGGGAGGTGGGAATGGGAAATGCTGGTTCCTAGACCCTTGCCCTGTCACCTGGGTTTTACCATATGTGCACAAGTTGTGTTTGTAGGAACATGTTTTTGTGAGAATAACTGAAGGAGTGCATATGTATGGCAAGGAGGGAAATGATTTGTGTGGGCTTTGCGAAGCCTGCTGTAGTGGCTCGCCGAATTAATTTCCATATGTCTCTCCGCAGGATTTGCAGGAGGAGGAAGTGCACAGCAATGAGAAGGGGCAGCAGGCTGGCAGTAGAGCTTTCCGTTGTGGGTACAAAGGCTGTGGCCGCCTCTACACCACTGCCCACCATCTAAAGGTAAAGCAAGTAACATGCAGTCATGCAGTGTGCAGACCAGACATGTCCCCATGTTACAGTGCCAGATCATAATGCTTCTATACAAAAGGCTGAGTTGCATGCTGGGCTGCCCGGGAGATCCAGATGTATTAATTGGCCAAGGTGAAATCTAACACAGAACTTCAGATTCTCTCCACCAGCTAGATTTCTTCACACTGTTTTCCTTCCTCCTTGTCTTGGACCTCATTTTAGGGACCTGTTCTTTCTTTTCCAGGTACATGAACGTGCTCACACAGGTGACCGGCCATATACATGCGACTTCCCAGGCTGTGGGAAAGCATTTGCTACAGGTGACAATTTCTCTTTTGAGCAAATTTTGTTTTCTGTCCAGTCCAAACCACTCTTGAGTATCAGCCCTGGCTTTTTTCCAGCAGAGTGCAATGAGCATAGCTATTAAACCATTCTGAGAAGGAATTGCAGCATTGGAGACTGCCTGGGACTTGATTGATTACGGACAGATTAAAGGAGTTACAGGAAGAAGCTGAGTTGTCAGTGGCATTGTGAGGCTGTTTGGATATTTCTTCCCCTTGAGTTTTGCAGACACAGGACTGACATTCAAAAATGCATGAACTGAGAGGTTGTACGCAGCTTGCCATATTACTTCCTTCTCGTTATAAAATTAATTGTGGTTTCTTTCCTGGACAGGGTATGGGCTGAAGAGCCATGTGAGAACACATACTGGTGAGAAACCATACAAGTGTCCAGAAGACGTGTGTAGCAAAGCCTTCAAAACATCTGGCGATCTACAGAAACACATCCGGACACACACAGGTGAGCAGTAATGGAAGAGAACTGAGCTGCCCTTGGAAAGGGTCTTCAAGATAAAGTACTGCTTCAGCCTTTGTCCAGGACATGCCTTTTTGTATCTTGCATGAAGCAAGGCAGAACTGAAGTTGTCTTCAGACAGAAGTAGACGGATAGGAGAAGTAGTGCTAGGGATTCTTGACTCAGTTACGAACAGCAGAGCAAAAAGGGTGGGGATGCCAATGTTGCTAGAGGAAATGTGCCAGCAGTTGGGTCTGATTTGAGGTCTTGTTGTTGTAATACTATGGAGCAGTGAAGGGATACAGGTGTCCAGGGCATTCCAGGTAGCTGTGTTGTAACAGGACTCTCATCCACGTTACTCTGTCAATGCAGGTGAGCGTCCCTTCAAGTGCCCCTTTGTGGGCTGTGGCCGCTCCTTTACCACATCCAACATCCGCAAGGTTCACATCCGAACGCATACAGGCGAGCGGCCATACATGTGTCCGGAGCCCAACTGCGGAAGGGGCTTCACCAGTGCCACCAATTACAAGAACCACATGAGAATCCACACAGGTAAGAGGAGGAGAGGGTGAAATGCAGACAGCCCCGCCCCAGTCAGCTGGCTGCACTGACAGCCTGTGGCAGCAGGGAAATCTGTGGGACTGAAATGGTCATTTCCAGGCCAGGCATTGCAGGGGTAGATCTGGGGGTAGCCAGGGAGCTAAAGGAAATAGGAGTTGCTTTATTGGACTGATTATTGTTCCACTGGTCTGTCTCCAGCTATTCCCTCTTGATGGGGAATCCCTTTCCAGAGCATGAGGAGGGTGAGTGGGTTAAGCTCTGCTCTGTGGCCTCTGCCCTAGGAGAGAAGCCGTACATGTGCACTGTGCCAGGCTGTGGAAAGCGCTTCACTGAGTATTCCAGCCTCTACAAGCACCACGTGGTCCACACGCACTGCAAGCCCTACACCTGCAATAGTTGTGGGAAGACCTACCGCCAGACCTCCACACTGGCCATGCACAAGCGCAGCAGCCACGGCGAGCTGGAGGCCACGGAGGAGAGCGAACAGGCCCTCTACGAACAGCAGCAGCTGGAGGGTGAGCAACCACTGCTCCATCACCTGTGGCAGGCTTGGGTGAGGCCGTGTGGCAAAGGGGAGAGAGATGACAGCAAGACCCTGCAGCTGCTCCCCTCTCTCAGACCCAGGTCTGTGCTGTGGCCTCCTGCCTTCCCCCATCAAACCCAAATCTGTGTCAAATGAGAGAAAAGGGCTCCCCATGGTCCTCGCTGTCTGTCACGGGTCAGGAACAGACTCCTGCCCATTCTGTAGTACACGGAGAGGTAAAGACCCTTCTTCTTGTGCACTTCTGTGCTGGCCCTTCAGGCAACAGGCAGGTCCCGGGGTCAGGTGTGTACTTTCATGCTCTGATCAGTGCTTCTCTCACCCCTTTTACTCTTCCCCTTTCCTGACTCAGCTGCTGCTGCTGACAGAGACTCTCCTATGAAAAGCCAGCATATTGCTTTCCTGTCAGAGATGGAGGAAGATGAAGAGGAGGAGGAAGATGGTATGCCTACGCAGGTCTCGCTTATCGATCAAGATGGGACAGAGCAGGTATGGACACTGACACCCTCCAGCATGTGGAGAACAACAGTTACCTGAGTGAGATTCTGCCTCTACCCAGCCTTGGTGTTCTCTTTAAGGCTTTTTTTCAGTGTAAAACAGACCCTGGGCCTTCATGGGCTCTGTCTGTCATGAGGGCTCCCTTCTTACACCTTTATCCCATTGCTGCAGTCTTGATGTGGAGGGTAAAGAATGGGTCTCTGGTCCCCAGCTCGCCTTCTTGCTGGACGGGGTCTTGCAGGTGTTTGCCCAGACTTGTGCACAGTGCCTGGCAGCGCTCACCTCCTGGACAGCTGTCAAGAGGCAGCTCCCAGTTTCTGCTGACACAGGCTGGATTTGGAGGTTGTTTTTTCATCATTTGTATATGGCAGTGCTTTTCTTGTACTTCCCTCCACCAGCTGCTCTTGTGCTGACTGGGAAAAACTCATTTCTGTGGCACGGGGCAAAGGAAACAGCTGCCATGAGTAATGCTTGTTTCCTCTTAGTCTGAGATGTTTCTGCTGCAGCAGTGCACAGGACAGAGCGCTGTCCCTTCAAAGCCTGGAGAGAAGATGCTAAATGGGAAGGGGAGGTGTGGTAGAAGGGGGAGGACTGGAGACCTGAGGTCTGTGAGTTCTCCCATCGATTCTGTCCATGACCCTGCGCAAAGTCCTTGGAGTTCTTTGTGCCATAGGTCTTGCATGCAGAGGAGGAGAGACTATTTCATCCTTACTGAGACCTTTGTGTTGCTAAACTCAAGAGTTGGGTAAGGCTTCCTGAGAAGCCATCCTGGCTGAGAGCATCCGCTGTTATCCCGCCCAGGTCAGTTTGTCACAGGAAGACCTGCAGGCCCTGGGCAGTGCAATCAGCATGGTGACGCAAAGCGGTGCCCTCGCCGTGCCTGAGGAAGAGCTGGCGGGTGATGACACACACACCGTGACTGTGGCCAACACTGCTGGCACTGAGACGCAGCCGGTACAGACAACACTGGGACCTTCCCTTTTCCCTGTGGAGAAACAGCCTGCTAGAAGGGAACTGCATTTTCTTTTAAAACATGATCATTTTTCATCTTAACTTTTCCTAGGTTACCATAGTCACTTCTGGAGCAGTAGTGTCTGAAGAATCAGCCATCACATCCCTCCGTCATCAGCAGGTGGCATTGCTGGCTACTGCCAACGGCACCCACATTGCAGTGCAGGTACCACACAGCTCCTGCCACGTTCCCTTTTGTTTGTCCCCATCTACCCACTGGCTTCAGCACTTGCCCTCTTGCTCTGCTGCATTGCCTCTTGCCCAGGGTGCTTGCTCCTTAATTCCCAGACGCCCTGTGTATAGAGGAGAGCAGGGCCATGCTCCTCGGATTGCAGAATGCTCCTTTGTAAACAGCCTTTTCCCATCGTGGCTGTGTCTGTCTCTGCTTTGCCTCTCTAGTTCATGCCTGTGTCACCCACTGCCGATCCCTCGCACCTCTGTCCTCTTGGGGGCTGCTCTGAGTGAGCCCACACCTCCCGAGCCCACCTTTTGGGAGGACAATGTTATCTCTCTCTTTCCTCCACTAGCTAGAAGAACAGCAGAGCCTGGAGGAAGCCATCAGCATGGCTGCAGCAGCAATCCAGCATGAACCTGTAACACTTGAGGCAGCCATCTCTGAGAATGGGTGCTGAGACCCTGCAGAGCCTCCCGGGCAGGGAGAGCCGGCAGCCCGAGCCTGTTCTCTACGGGGGCGTCGGGAGCAGCAGGAACTGGGCCAGCTGGCGCACAGAAGAGGTGCGGTACACGAGCGAGGGAAGGTGTCCAAGACCAGCGGCCAGCGAGTGCACTGCACAGGCGATGAGAGCTGGTGCCAGCAGCACTGGGCTACTGGAGTGACGCTGTTCGAAGGGCTCTTCTCTCCATGGAGGGATGTCAGACTCTTGGCTGCTGCCTTCTCCTGGAGGCTCTGCTGTTTTCCTGGGCTCTGAGCAGCAATTTCCCTGCTCCTTGCCTTGGGCACTGACTCCCTCTGTCTGGAGGAGATGGCAGATTGTGTCTTCTAGTATTTATTTCTTCATGGCTGAGATCTCCAAGACCTGTGAATCTTCTGCAGCAGGGGTGGAGCCACAGAGATTTCAGCAGTCTCTGGGAGTACAAAATTTTTTTGGAGAGGCACTTCCTGCCTTCTCCCTCTAGGAATGGTCCAACAGCTCCCCTTTCCTGCCCACCCCTCCAGGTAAGGGACAAGCGGGCAGCATATGCACAGAAGCAATAAAGCCCCATCAAAGCAAGCCCAGGCTGTCCTGGGCTCAGCGTCTGGAGCAGTGACCAGTTCCTGATGCTGGAGTGAGCGCCCGGATGGGCTCCGACAGTAATTCTCCCATCTCTTTATCACATTCTGCTCTCAAGCAAACTTTGTTGGCAGACTCAGCACTGTGGAGCAGAGCAAAGCACTCCCTCCTCTGAAGTCAAACAGCACTTGTTGGGGGCTGAGCTAGACTTGGATGTAAATACTGAGTTAAAATAAAACAAATTAAAAATTTTCTTTTTAAAAAAAAGAAACACCTTTCTCTCTTTCAGTCTCTGGGGCCAGTGGCTGGCAGAGGGTGGGAGGGATGTTACTGTTTTGCAGATGTAAGGATTAAGGAAGTTCTGGAAATTTGTTGACTTCACCAAAAGTGCAGCGATTATCCAAAAACAGCATTGAGGAGTGATGCGAGCAAGATGAGTTGTAGCCTCTGAGCTCTCAGCATGTGACTTAGAGGGGCTAAGAGGTGTCTCTTGAATCTCAGATCAGGCCTTGACTCTTCCAAGGACTCCTGCAAGCCTAGATGAAAGGAATTGTGTCAATACAAGAAAATGTGTCTGTGAACGCATCCTACAACCCTCTGAGCTGGGGAGAGAGACCTGGGCTGGCTTCCTCGACCCAGCAGGAGTAACCTTAGCCCCTCTGCTGCGTACCTCTGCCTGGGGCAGTTTGTGGACAGAGCCAGTGTAGAGAGCACCATAGAATCAAAGAATAATTTAGGTTGGAAAAGACCTTTAAGATCATCGAGTCCAACTGTAAACCTAACATCAGTGCAGGCTCCCAGCAAGTCAGGTGGTTTATTTTTTGGATATACTGGAGGAGTTTGCAGAGGAAGAGGTTTCTGCAGGCAAGGAATGGGCATAACCTGGGAGGGCTGCAGCAGGCTGGATCTCCGCTCACCTTACTTGGTGCTACTGATCCCAAAACAAGCAGGGCTGGAGCCTGTCCAAAAGGCACAGCCCGTGCTTTTGCTGCGAGGGGAAGCTCTTCATTTAAATCCCAGAAGAGGAAGCTGCTATTTGAGTCAGGGAGGGGATTTCTCTCCGCAGAACGCAGATGCCGAAAAAGCTTTTGATCTCTAGGCTGAGCTAGCAAAGCGTTACGAATCCCTGTCCTGTTTATGCTCCGGTGAGCCCTGAATTGTTGCTTCCCTGGGCGCGGGGGATCTGTCAGTGGCAGGGCAGGGGGAAAAGACCTGCAGCCCAGGGGACCGTGGGGCCGAGATGGGGACCGTGGGGCCGAGATGGGGACCGTGGGCTTCTCCGGGGTGCACCCAAGCAGATGGCGCTCCTGCTTCGTGCGTCCCCCGCCGCCCAAGGCTGTCGAGGCAGGCGGTTTCCTGGAACCGGATCCCCGGCCTTGACAGAACCTCCTCTGCCATCGCCGCCTGTAGCCATGGACCTGCGAGCGGAGCTGCTGAAGTCCATCTGGTACGCCTTCACCGCCCTGGACGTGGAGAAGAGCGGCAAGGTTTCCAAATCCCAGCTCAAAGTGAGTCCCCAGGGAGGCTCGGACGGCCCCGGCGTAGGGCTGGCGGGTGGGCTGCGAGGGACAGAGCGTGTCCAGGGATGCTTTGCATACCCCCTGGGTTTCCACGGAGGAATTATTAACTATTAAGATTAATAAGATCTTGCTGTTGCCTCCACGCAGGTTTTAGTGAAGTTCTCTGTCTCTGCCTCATCTGCCTCTAAAAAAAAAAAAAGGTGGGGGGAGTTAATGCTCAAATGTATTTTCTAGGTGAAAATGCGGAGAAATCTAATTTTTAGTTTTCAGTTTCTTATGCTTTTTTATGCCCAACTAGCAGCCCAAACTCAGTTTATATTTTCTTGCTTGCCAGAGCACCCGCGTTTCTGCTTCCTGTTCAGCCAGCGGGTCTGTAGGTAAAGGCAGACCATTTTTAAACTAAAACTCCTTGGGGGTCTGGCCAGAAATAACACAGCACTTTTAAAAAAATCTCTACTTTCCCCTCTCCCCCACCTCCTCAGCTGTGTAGAAAGCCCCTATGTTCAGCCGTTCATCAAAACCATTGTGGCTTTAAAAGCTTTTTTGTCTGCCTCTGGGACAGGGTCTGGTCAAATCCGCCAGGTTATACCTTGGCTTTGACAATAATTATTGATTCTTATTTTGTATTTTTTCCCTTTACAAATGATGGGACTCCTTTTTTGTTGGCGTGTAAATGCCCCGTTGTGGTTCTTAGGCTGGCGCTGGAAATGCAAGTTGGAGCAGGGGGCTGTGATGCAGAGGAAAGACCTGAGCTAGAAACATGCAAAACACAGGGAGATGTTGCGTCAGGACTTGGCAGCTGCTGCGAGTCTGCAAAATCAGTTGTGAAATGCTGTGAAGAAACCTCTTTTCCTCTATTCCCTCTGCTTTATAGGGCTTCCCCCGGGACAGACTGCAGGGAAGATGCTGGGCTTGGCAGAGGGGGCAAAAGAGGGTTCTTTTGCAAGGGTCTGGAGGAGAAGTAGCAGGAGCCGGGCTTCTCCTGATCAGCCGCTGCCTTTGCAGCTGAGAGCCTTCGGCTGCTCCCCAGAAATTCGTTGCACATAAGCCCTGTGAGGCACGCTCGCCTACTTAAAACTGTAGAAATATCTGAAGGAATTAAGGAAAATCCCAAGGTAGGCCAGAGCCTAATTCCCCTTACTAATCCCAGAGAAGGTCTGCTGTGCTCCCCTCACAGCATCCCCTGCGCCCGGGCCCCGGGTCCTGCACCCAGCCCAGGCGTGCTGCCAGCCCCAAAAGCGCTGAACATGTGCAGCGCTCGTCTTGCAAGATCTTTATCACCGGTGAAGATGCTGAGGCCACAGAGACCCTAATTTTAACGGCAATTTCCTAGAGAGTTAGTGCAGGGGCACTGGGAGAGCTGCAAACCCTCGTGCAGGGGCTGCGGGGATGCTGGGGCCGGTGGCAGTGGCTCTGCCCAGGGTGACATTTCAGAGGGGAAGGGACATTTGCCGCTCGCTGTTTTTCCACCCACCTTCAGCGATGGGACGGGATGGCAGCAAGTCAGGCTGCGCCATTGCACAACAAAGCTCAATTCTGGATAACTTTCCACCCGCCTCGAGGCTGGGGAGAGCTCGTTTCCATCCCCCATTGCTGCCAAACACTGGCTCAGGTTTGCCCCAGCCTACACAAGCCAGCAGCGGCGTTTCTGCTTGTTCAGTGCAGAAAAAATCCAGGGTCTCGCAGGTTTGAGCAATAACATGTTACAGCCATGGTGGCCATGCCCTCTCCAAACTCCTCCCGGGTTGTGCGAGCTGGGCTGCGCTCTGTTCCTTCACCCAGGCATGTTGCTGCAAGAAGGGTCTTGAACAAAGATGGGAGAAATGCCGGTGTTCACAGCATTTGCACCTACAGAAATAAAACCAGCTCCAGAAGCTGGGGTGGGATTTTGCTGGTAGACGAGCAGCATGCCAGTGGGAGCTGGGTGCTCAACGACTCTGACCTCTCTCCAGCCAGATGTAAAGCAGCGTTTCAATTTTTTTAATTCAGCAGCATTTCAAAGCATGATGGCAAAGCTGTGGGAAGCCGCTGGGTTCAGTAGTTGAGTTCTTTGCATGGACGCTCCTATGCAAGCAACCATGTGCATATGTATATGTGAGTGTAGGTGTGTATCTGCACAGGAAGGAAAGAGAGTCTTGTGGTTGAGTGCTACACGTCAAAAGATGTCGGGTAGTTCTGTTCCCAGCGTGGGCACGTACCAGCCCTGCTCTTGGATGAGCTTTTATCCTCTCCATGCCATCACATCCTCCCTGGCTGAGCTGGGGGAGCTACTCCCCGTCTCCGTGAATGCTGGCTGGGATGTGGGATGCGGCTGCCGCAGGCAGGGCAGAGCTGAGCCCTTTTGGGCAGCTGAGCCCAGCTGGGGCAGGCGGGTGGGAGCCACTGAGCACCATCCTGGTGCTTTTTGGCACCTCTGCTCCGCTCCTGTCCCCCTTCTGGAGAGGAGCAGTTTGCTGAGTGGTCCAAGAACTTGGTCTCCTGAGGCTGCCCGCTACAGCAAAGCCCTTGGGGAGTGGAGAGGAGGAGGCAGGGGGGCAGGCGAGCAGTTTAAATGAAGGGCTGCATGTCGGGGGGCATGGGGATCCCCCAGCCACTGCATGGGTTTGCAGACTCAGGGTGCAAATGGCAGGAGAGGTGGTTCTTGCTCGCTTTTTGAGAAAGAGCCCATAGCCCGTGCAGGTCTCTGGGTCTAACTGGTGCCTTGGACAGGGGGTGGGTTAGCACAGCACAGCCTGGTTATGGACCCCCCTGGGGGCAGGAGGGAGGTGCCTGCCTTGAACTGAAAGCTCCTCTGCTTGTTATATGCACAAAAGGCTCTTGGCACAGACCAGTGGGTCCCAGTTTGGCCAATTACAGGTCTGAGAGCAGCTCATCCGTTCAAACAGCAGGGAAAGCCTTCCCTGATGTCAGGAGCTGATGGACCTGGGGCTGGGCTTGAGCCAAGGGGTCCTGTCTGAGGGGGTGGCGAGGCAGCTGTCCCCCCTCGTGTCCTCCTCGCTGCAGAAAACGGGCAGCTCAAGGGACCTTTGCCACTGGCAAAGGCTCCCAGCGCTGGGGGTCCCCTGGGACAGGACTCCCTGCATCCCCAGCTCTGGGGAAGCTTTGATTTTCTCAGCAGGGCTGGTCTGCTCGCACATGGGGAAACCGAGGAAGCAACAACACTCCCTGCATGGTGCAGGAGCCCCGATCCCCCTGCTCCCACCCGCCAGGGCCAGAGGGGTTTGTGTTTAACACAGGGAGCCAGGCTCCAGCCCAAAAGGTCACCCCCAGCCCTGGCATCGCCCCTGGCATCTCCCACGGGGGAGAAGAAGAGGGGCTGCCATTCTCTAGCCCTGTTAAATATTCCACCCCCGGCTCTGGCTGGCGTTGGCAGCAGCTGTGGGTGGCTGTGGAGCAGTGGGAGTGGGGGGTGATGGGGGGCAGGAGAGGAGGGGAGAGGGTGGAGAACAGCATTGGGGCTGGTGCTCGGTGGGATTTTGGGATGCTCAGGGGTGTCGGGCAGACCTCTGCCCCTGCCCTGGCCATCCTCTGCACACCTCAGGGGAAAGGTTTTGTCACCAAACCACTTTCAGAGCATCCCTTCTCCCCCCCCCCCCCCCGCGTTATTTCCTCCCCATCCCTTGTTTCAGAGCCCGGGGCGGGGGGGGTCCCACCTCTCCTCTCTCCGTGGGGTTGGGGCAGCCCCAGCCCCACGCACCCTGCCATCGACCTGCCCGGGGCTTTCCTCTCCACCCTGACCCACTTTCATTTTGTAGGTGACCGTTCTGGCAAGCAGTGGGGCTCTGGTTCACAGCGTGCTGGGGTGGATGGAGGGGCTCGGGGTGCCAGCCACAGCCAGGGGCACACGCAAGACCTCCAAGGGCTTTTTGGGGTGCTGTGAGAGGAGGTGCGAGGGATGGGGATGAGGCCCCACATTGGAAACAGGGAACAAGATGCAATTCCCAAACGGTCCTTCCATCCTGATAGATTTGTTAGCCATACCGGAGGATGCCCAGGGTGTTTCCATCCCTCTCCACCCCTGTGCAGACCCTGGGGCTGCACTGAACCCCAAGAAGCGCAGCCATAGCAGCAGCGCTTAGGGCTACAGCCCGCTCGGTGTTTGAGCACAGGGTGGAGTCCTGCTGATAATATCAGTCCCGAGGGTGAAAAACAGAAAGAAAATCTGGTTAGGCAAGAACCATCTCCAGCTGCAGCAGCCAGCATTGCCTCCAGCGGCTCCTCTCCTGCTGGGAGGAAATTTCCAGCCCTGCATGGAGAGGAGCAGAGATGCTGCACACCATCTCCTCCAGCCTCTCTCTTGAAACCTTGTCAAGCTGCATCTGCAAACCCTACAAGCCATCTCTGCAAACCCTGGTGCAATGGGACAGCATCAGTTTGGGATGCTCATTTAACCATCTCCTGCTTGCTGGGAGGTAAAGACAAGGAGACAACGGTCTGGCCGGCATCATGAGCCGGAGATGCTGGTGGTGGCCATGGACAGCCTTGCTCTGGCCTCTGGCCACTGGCCCAGCAGCGGCGTGGGCTTTCCAGCATGTGGGAAATTTGGGAGCTTCAAAACATGCTTTGTTTTGGGGGATTTGAACAAAAATGGGCTAGTTGGTGACGCTTGCAGACTGCTTCTAGAGATGGTGTCTCCCGATCTCTGTTGTCTGCTTCCATGCCAGACAAAACCTTTTCTTAGTTTCTTATAAGTCTTTTCTTATTTTCATCTTTGCGTCTTTCTGTGCCCCACTGGCAGAAAGCAACCGCTGCCAGGCTGGGCGCCGTCGTTAGTTATGTTTTCAAGAAATTGCTAAGGGCAGCTGCCAAATGGCATGGCTTGGGGTGGCTTATCATCTTTTCTAGATCAAAGCATGTCCTGTTCGTTCTCTAATGTTTGAAACAGCCCTTTTAAAGAAAAAAAAAAAAAGTTCCCCATGTGCCAAGAAGGAAAAGAAATTAATGTGGAAAAATCCTTACTTCTTCCCTGTTTCTAAATGATTCTCTAAGGTTTAAATGCGGGAATATTCCCCGTCCTTCTGCCAAATCCAAACCATGTCTCGATGCTGTGGCTGCAGGGAGGGGCACAGTCCCTGGGTGGGTGGGTGGCACCGTGGCGATGTGCCGGGACAGGGTTGGAAATTGTTCACCTTCTCCCCGTCCCTTGTATTCGGCCAGGTGCTGTCTCACAACCTGTACACGGTGCTGTGCATCCCCCACGATCCCGTGGCGCTGGAAGAGCATTTCCGTGATGATGATGATGGGCCGGTGTCCAGCCAGGGTTACATGCCATACCTCAACAAGTACATCCTGGATAAGGTGAGCCCCTTGGGCATCCCCCTGACCTGCTGCGTCTCAGGTGGGGACACCACGGTGCCTGGTCTGCTCCTGCATCCCGTAGCAGCCCCACGGCTCCACTCCCCTCTGCTCTTGGAGATCCCATGCCTTGATGGGTGGAAAAAGGATACAGAGGGTTGGGGAGCACTCAGGTGAATGCCAAAATGAGTGAGAAATGTTTAATACCCAACACCTCCTTGGCAAGAATGAAGTCAGCCCTTTCTATTAAGGCTCTGGATGGAGGTGCATCTCTGCCCACATTTCCTAAAGAGCTCAGAGAGAGAAATGAGCCCCTTTTTCCTCTTCACCCCTGTTCAAACTTGAGGTGTGACGTCATTTGGCAAAGAAGAGGAGAAGGAGGAGGACGAGGTGCCAGGGCAGGACCAGAGCTTGGGTTGGGCAGGGGCTTTCTCCCTTTTTTTTCTGCGTGGCTCAAAGGCACCTTTGTTTGGCACAGTGAGACTTTGCAGCTGGGTGCTTGTTTCCTCCAGGCATGTGAGGAGAGGAAAAATGACTGACAACTTTCTTCCACTGTGTGCTCAAAAGAAGGGGGGGCCCAGAGCTGGGTGCCGTAACCCTTCCCTCCCCTGCCACTTTCCCAGGGCTGAGGTGTGCCTCTCCCCAGTGTGTGGTGCTCCGTGCCGGTCTCCGTGCCGGTCCTTGCCTTGCCCTGAGCTGGTCAGGAGCTGCCCAGCCTGGTCCAGGGATGCTGATCTCAGCTGCGGGGATCTGGTCTGCAGCGAGCGAGGCCAGACCCTTCCCCAGCACCCTCTGCCCCCAGGGCAGGTCAGCGCAGCCCAATCTCCCCATCACAGAGCAGCCAAAATGCTTCCAGTTTCCCATGTGGTTCTTTGGGAAATGACCTTTAAACCCCTTTCTGGTTTCGCCATGGCTGATAAAATCCCAGAGGCAGCCTGGGAAGGGGAAGTGGGTTTTCCTAGTAAGAAGGGCTTTCCACCACCCAAAGGTTTTTCTCCAGCTCTGCTGCTGCAGGCTGCAGTTTGTCCTCATGCTGGCCACGTGCAGCTCACGCAGCTGGGATGGAGGAGCCAGATGCAGCCAGGCTCCTTTGGTCCCCATCACAGTTCACCAATGCTGCACCGAAACTGCCGCATGAAGCGTCTGACAATGCCGGGCAAGTGGTCACAGAAGTTCATGGACAGGCAGCAGGGCTGAGGTTGATGGAGGTGTCATTCCTACCTCCACTGCTGCCTGCCTGTGGGCCATCGCTTCCCTTCGCTGAGCCTCAGTGCCTCTTTATGGTCAAATGGGATAACGAGAATGACCCAAAGCCAGGGAGGCACCGGGAAGGTGGGCTTGGGAGAGCATCACCACAATGCTGCGTGTGCTTCACCATGGGATTCCTGCTGGTGCTCCAAAGCCCGGCAGGACATGGCTGAGCCACCGTGGCCGTGCCACACTGCCCGGGTGCTGCAGTGGTCCCATAGCATCTTCTCTCTGGGCCGGGATGCCTTGCTTGCCTGTGTAAGGGACCTGTGTGGGTGATGCATACTCTGGCATCATAGGTCAGTGCCCATTTACACTCTAGTTGTGGGTCCCACGTATCAATCACCACGTGCTTCTCACCGGCAGGGACAAGAGATTTCAGGTGTGAGGGTTTCTCCCCTCCAGTGCTTCCCCTCCCAGAAACCCCCTCCGTAGCCCTGCAGCACCACGCTCACCCCCCTGACTCCTGCCTGCAGGTGGAGGAAGGTGCTTTTGTCAAAGAAAACTTTGATGAGCTCTGCTGGACCCTGACAGCGAAAAAGAATTACAAGCCTGACCGGAATGGGAATAGCATTATATCCCACCAAGATGCCTTCAAGCTCTGGTGTCTCTTCAACTTTCTGTCTGAAGACAAATACCCTCTCGTCATGGTGCCAGATGAGGTAGGACCTGCCTCTCCCCCCGCCATCCCCGTCCTCCCAGGGCTCTGTGTGCTGGCAGAGCCCCGTTTGGGGATGACACATCCCGCTATCGCTTCCTGGCATGTCCCACCACATCCTGCAAGATGTAGTGCTCCAGCATGTGACAGAGCACAGGCCAGGGGTGGGAGGAGGGGGCTGTCTGCCCTGGGCACCCCCTTGTATGCTCACGGCCACCCCTGCTGCCCAGGGAGAAGGGGGCGACTTGGGAGGAGCTGGGAGGACCCCTCCAAAATGCTGAAGCGTCTCACATACAGATGTCTTGGAGGATGAGGTGTGGGCTGGGCCATATTGCTCTTCCATGGTCCAGGCCTATGCCAACGAGTTCTTTTGCCTGCTGTGAAATGAACATGCCAGTTCTCAGAGCCCCAACCAAGGAGCATCGACAGCTCAGCTCTTCCTGGAGCTGGTCCCTTGCCTAAAGCCCTTGCATCTCACCCAAGGGTTGAGTAGAGCATGGTGTTGGAGGACTCCTCCCGATTTTCAAGGGACAGAAGGAGAAGACGATAAGAGACCCTTAAAGTTTGGTGCAATGGGAGGTTGCTCCCTGTGAAATCACCATCAGGCTGGATGGGGCTGTATCTCTTGGGCTGTTTTACAGCCAGTGCCACCGTGAAGGCAGTGGCAGAGCAGACCCAGTTGTCCCTCTCCATGTCCGCTGCCATCAGGCACTCACCCACTGCCCAGCATCTGGAGAGTTAAGAGCAAGGTACCCGGGTGCAGCAAAGCTGCTGGCAGTAATCTCCAAATCTCCAAATTCCACCCAGCATTTGGAGGGAGAGGTTTTCCCTTCTCCGGGGGTCAGATCAAACCCCCATGAGAAGTTAGGCAGATCTGGGGAGGAGGGATGAGCTCAGAAGCCGAGCAGCCTCACCAGAAGGAGCTCAGCTGGGCAAACAGCTGCCGTCTGCTTCTACACCATCAACCTCCTGAGATCAGCAGAAAAGCCAAAAAAAAAAAAAAAAGGGGGGGGACAAAAAAAGACAAGCAGCGCAGTGCTGCGCAGATGTAGGAGGGCAACCGCACTTCCTGCTCCCCAGGAGAGATGTTTCCTGTTCCCCAGACCATGACAAACTGAATCATGTTTCTGCTTATTGGGCTTAGCTTGAAAAAAAAAAAAAAAAAGAAAAAAAGAAACTACATTAAATTCTTGCCCTTCTCCTAGTTAGGTGATGTGAAAAAATCCAGCCAGGTGCAGGGACTCTGCTGTGTTTCACCTTTCTGCGTGGCTCTCTGCAGTCACCCACCCTCCTTGGTCCCTAGATTGTGGGTAGAGTAGAGCTGGCACCACAACTTGAGCTGGAATAAGTCTTCCCGACATCATGTCAACCATTTTAGCTCTTTTTTAAAGCAATTTATTTACAGTTTCAAAATGACGCTCATCTCCTTCATAGGGACCTCTTCCCCTGCTCCTCCCCAGTGTTTTTAGGATGCCAGCTGCAAACCAGAGTGGTGCTGAGGTCAGGGCCATGGTGTGAGACACCTGCCTTGCAGGCTGGGTGTTGGGGGACAGCAGCGTTGGTCTGTTCTCCCTCAGGCTCTTGACTTCTGCACAGTTTTCTCACTCTGCAGACAAGCCAAAAACATCTCAGCCTTGTGGTTGAAAGGAAAAACCTCACAGTAGTGGTGAACCTCTAACCCAATGACAACATCTTGAGCCTGCCTGCCTGCTGCCTGGAACACCTCAGCCATGAGCATCAACCCTCATAAGGGGTGATACCTCCGGGATAAGGGTCCTCCATCTCCAGGCTGGAAAGAGATGTGGGCTTGGACTCTCCAAAATGGGTTGGTGGGACAGGGACAGCTCTCGCTTTCCCTCGTCGCTGAGTTCTCCATCCCCACAGGTGGAGTACCTGCTGAAGAAGATCTGCACGGCCATGAACGTGGAGCTGAACTCCTGCGAGCTGGATGACTACCTCTCCCAGGAGCCACAGGGGCAGGGGGGGCTGACGGTCTGGCAGTTCCTGGACATGGTGAACTCGGGGCGGTTCCTGCGAGGCATTGAGCAGGAGGCTGTCAGCATGGCCGTGGAGGAGGTGTACCAGGAGGTCATCGAGGATGTGCTCAAACAGGCAAGGGGCCCACATGTCCTGGGGCACAAACCCTGTCCTGCCCCCCCACCCTGTTATTGATCCCCATGTCTCGGGCGCAGGGCTACCTCTGGAAGAAAGGCCAGCTGAGGAGGAACTGGTCAGAGCGGTGGTTCACGCTGAAGCCCAGTGTCCTGTCCTACTACATGAGTGAGGAACGGAAGGAGAAGAAGGGGAGCATCGTGCTGGACAAGCACTGCTGCGTGGAGGTACAGCCCGTGCCACGCTCAGCTCAGGGACAGGAGACCCAGGAGATCCCCTTCGGACCCCAGGAAGGGGAACCCAAGAATGCACAATTTCACATCCATGACCATGGGAGACCCAGTCCTACGGCTGAAGAAAGTGGGGATAAGGTGGGGTACGGGGTGGGTAACGCCATCCAGTGTCCTCTCCCTGCAGGTGCTGCCCGACCGGGATGGGAAGAGGTGCATGTTCTGCGTGAAGACCTCCTCCCGCACCTACGAGATGAGTGCCTCTGACACCCGGCAGCGCCAGGAGTGGACGCTAGGTCCGTGCCCCGCCTGCGCCCCCTCCCCAGCTTCCCCGTGCCCCCCCACCATGTCCCCACTGACTGTCTCTTTCCCTCCCCAGCCATCCAGACAGCCATCCGCCTGCAGGCTGAGGGCAAGAAGTCCCTGCACAAAGACCTGAAGCAGAAGCGACGGGAGCAGCGGGAGCAACGGGAGCAGCGCAAGGCGGCCAAGGAGGAGGAGACGCAGCGGCTCAAGCAGCTCCAGGAGGAGAAGGAGAGGAAGCTGCAGGAGCTGGAGCTGCTCAAGGAGGCCCAGCGGCAGGCAGAGATACTCCTGCAGGAGGAGGAGCAGCGGCGGAGGCAGCAGCACGAGGAGATGCAGAGGACCCTGGAGATCCAGCTGCGGGAGGCTGAGCAGGTGGGTGCATCCTCATGGCGTGTCCTGCAATAGGGCTGCGTCACTCACAGGGTGGGTGCTTCCTTCCTCTTCCCTTGCCCATGGCAGCTCAGGGGGTTTGGAGGAGCTTTTAGGAGCACATCCCACTCTTGCAATAACGCTGTTGCCACTCATCACCTCTGGGCTCCTGGGGGCTGTATGTGACCTGGGGACAAGGGATGGAGGGGCCAGCACCGCCGTGCGTGAGATACTTGAGGAGCAGGAGATGAGGACAACCTGCCCCAGGTATATGAAGCTGGGGGGCAGGTGAGAGGTAAGTGCTAGTGCCAGGATGGCCAAGGAGCTCATTTCTGACCTTGCAGCCAGCACTGACTCCAAATGATGTGGTGTGTCTCCTTAGCAGGGAAACAGCCTTGCTTTGGAGCTCTCTCCATGGGCTCTCCCTGGTGTGGGAGATGTCTGGCCCCATCCACCCAGGGATGCGGAGATAAGGGGGCCCTGGGGATGGCCGCAGTGGCTCTGCCACCCACCCACACTGATAGCTCCTCTCCCTGCCGCAGGCTCGTGCCTCCATGCAGGCAGAGATGGTCCTGAAGGAGGCAGAGGCAGAGCGTCAGCGCAAGCGCATCTTGGAGCTGGAAGACATGCAGGAGCGTCTCCAGGAGGCCCTGCAGCAGGAGGTGAAAGCGCGGCAAGATGAGGAGTCCGTGAGATATGCGCAGGCCAGGTAGGACCAGGGCATCCCTGCTCCTCCTCGACTAGCCCCACTCCCAGGGCAGCAGCTGGGCATGGGGACATGCTCCCCAGCGCAATGCAATGCTCCCTGGGGTACTGGGATGTGCTGGTGACTTCCCAGTATGCCAGCAGAGATGGAGGAAGCTGGTGGAAGAAGTGGCAGAGGAACGTCCTCACCTTTTGCTCTTTGTCGACAGGCTACTTGCTGAGGAAGAGGAGAAGCTGAAGCAGCTGATGAAGCTGAAGGAGGAGCAAGAGGAATATATCATCAAAACTCAGCGGGAGAAGCAAGTCCTCAAGCAGGAGATGGAGAACAAGAACAAGTGTCTGGAAGAGGCGCAGAAGCAGCTGGAAGAAGTGAGAGTGAACAGGCAGCGAGTGGACCAAGACGTCATGGTGAGCATCACACCGGTGCCACATCCCTTCGTGCTGTGAGCCCTGGGGGACTTCCCAGCCCTCCCTGAGTCACCTCCACACTAGGGAGGACTGAGTAGCTTTGGGGACCAAGCTGGCATTGCCTCGGGGGTTTGCTGAGCTGTGCCGTGTGCAGGCACAGGGTGATTCAGTGGCTGAGATGGGACAAGCATGTCCTGCTCCAGGGGGACAACGCTGGTGTCCAGAGCAATGTCGACAGTGCGAGTGTGCGGAGGGGGGAGGATTGGAGGAGGAGCAGAAGACCTAGAGGAGGGTGAACTGGGTCTCCATCCCAGAGGGAGCCTCCAATCCAGGCTTACTCAGGGGAGGGAAACTCCTGCCCACGGTCCTGGGACGGGGGCTGTCGGGCAGCTGGCTCACCCCTCTCCTCCATCCCCTCCCAGGCGGCCCAGCGGAAGCTGCGACAGGCCAGCACCAACGTCAAGCACTGGAACGTCCAGATGAACCGACTGATGCACCCCATCGGGCCGGGAGGTAGGAGACGCCATCACACCCATCTTCCCCTCTTTAGGGGCATCCGGGGGCTTTCAGAGAAGATAGCCCAATACCTCTGGCAAGGAGAGACCCCGCAACCCTTTTCCTTAGCTGAAAGGTAAACGATCCTCTTTTTCTGTCTATCTTCAGACAAGCGTACAAACGTGAGCAGTGGAGGCTTCACTGGCTACCAACCCATCCTCTCCCGGAGAGATTCCTCCCTCAAACTCAAGCAGAAAGTGGAGGATAAAGGCAGCAGCCCCACGAGGGACAACAGCAAGGAAAACGTGAGCAATGGCGGGAACAGCGACATGCCGCCGTCTACGGATGCAGACATGACCGCAGAGCCCACCAACTAGCCCGGCAGGATGGCAGAGCCCAGCAGGAAACTGCAGGGCCCAGCACATCCCTCCAAGCGGACAGTCAATACGGCCATCTCTGGATGGACACAAGTGGGGACCAGCACAGAGCCTATATGTGATTACATATAAGGCAGAGATGCTCCCATTTGCTTTAAAGGGCTGCAGCCACGACGTGCCGGGAGGCTCAGACAGCCCAAAATTGGGGAGGAGGCAGCAGGGCCATCTCCTCTGGGCTGCCCAGGTGTGGGACCTGGACTCAACTCCCCAGACTCTGGTTTCCACCCTGCCTAAAAAAAAAAAAAGTCACCAATGGGTCTGGACCACGTGGCCCAGGGCCGCAGTTCCCCCTTGGTTTCTACCAGCAACCCTTCTGCATCACCTGCTGCACCCCTGGGTGCATGGCCCTGCAACAGCAGCTGCCAGGGAAGCCTTGGCAGACTGAGCGGTGCCTTCTTGCCACCCCCACAGAAAGGCCAGGGTGTCCTTAACTAACACGTGCATTCCCTGAAGGTGGTTGTTAGTCACTGGAGTCACGCAGATGTTAGCAGAAGCCAATAAGCAATAAAGCTTTTGGAGCTGCTGGCCCACCCACCTCCTTTCCCGCATATCTGTGGCCTGCGGGCACCAGATGTCCCTCCTCGGCAGTGTGGGGTTTGATTCCCACTATAGAAAAGAGCCCATTAAAAGAAATCAGACACCACCCGTGGAAAGGGGCTCCACCAGTGGATTTTGGGTTGGTCTGTGGAGGGCCAAGAGGGACACACAGATGCTGGTGAACTGCCCATAGACGATGAACTCCCCTCTGGGTGGGAGGGCAAGCACAGGGGTAACATCTCGGAGGGCCAACACCTCTATATGATTAATGAAGTGCTTGTATAGGAAGGTAACAGTGCTCTGGGCTTCATTTAGGTTTTGCCCTTGGACTGCAGGACTCCCTGTTTCAGGAGTGGTCCAAGGCCCACAGAAGGCAATAGTAAAGACTCCCAGGGGCCATCTGAACTGGGAGCCAGTGGATGTGGCAGCCCTCTTCAGTAACACTGGCCTGGCCTGTCTCCTGCTCCCTGAAAAACTGAGAAAAAAAAAGCCAAGTCTGCTGGCAAACCTCCTTGCACAGAAAATAAAAAACCAACCCACGCCAACATAGGGGTTAGTTTTTCCAAGCACCTCAGTTTAAATACAGTCCCATTCACCTGTGACTTTGGGGTCTTTATTGTACGGGGCAGAGCCCCAGATCACATAAGAGTCCCCTCTGGAAACAGGCACTGGTAGCAAGCCCTGCATCAAACCCCAGTTCATGGTTGCTCATGCTGATTAACTGCAGTTCGTTAGGGAGATTACAATCTGTTTCCTACTCCTGCGGCTTTCAGCATTTGCTCACACAGCTCTTGTACACCCCCCCCAGTTTTTACAGTGTTTCTTTTTTACAGTTATTTTTCATTGTGCCTGACAGCGAGAGAGACCATTTCTGTGGGTGCCAGTGGAGCGGCACGGCTGCCCCAGGACAAAGTGGCTCTGTGTGCCCATGAGGGTGACCGGGTGGCCCCGTGCCCCGGTCCCACGCAGCCTCGCCAACGCACAGGGAGGGCATGGGTGGCTGCAGCCCTTGTGGTGATGGCCGTGGTGGCCCTGGCCCTGCAGGCGCTGCAGGTCAAATTCATCACCTCTCCTCCTCCTTCCCACTGCACTAGGATGCAGCAGGGTCGTCCTGAGCCATGGTGTGTCCGCTAGAGCCCCGTGCAGATTTGGGGTTCCTGTCTGGCCCTGTGCCATCCTGGCTGGTCCACTTGGATGCAAGGTCCCTCCACTGTGCACAGGTTTTCTGGTGGAGCAAGACCTTCCCAACATACAGTACTGGAGCCTGGGGCTCTGTCTTTCAAGGAGCATGGGGGCCATGGTACGAACGGCTGCAGCCTCCCGGGGTGACCCTGGCAAAGCTGCTCGTTGCTCCGTGCAATCCGCAGGCAGAGCAAGAACAGGGAGGGTGCCAAACGCTGGTGTCTGCGGGGAAGGAAATGGGCTGGGTGGAAATGCACTGATGGGAGACAGCATCCTCCCTTGTCAGCTTCATTTGCTCAATCTCATATCTGATCAGGCATCAGGACAGGTAGGTGCCATGCCACGCCACATCTAGGCAGGGAGGAAAAGGGCCACCTCCACCCATCTCGGTGGCTCCATGCCACAGCCTTGTCACAAGGGCTCTCTCATCCTGTGCACAGCCCCGCATCCCTGCCAGTGACAGTGTCATCGCTTCTCACCAACTCTGGGGCTGCATCGTCCCTCCTTAAAGCAGCTCACCAGAGCGTTGCTTTTGCTCCCGAGAGCCAAGTTCCCACGCGGCAAAAAGCTATACATTAATTGCCACAGGCAAGGACAGGCGTGGAGGGAACAGCCAGAACCAGTGTCAGCACCTGCCTTTGATCCACCACCAAGTCTGGATGCGCCCAGATCTGTCTCTTCCTCCCGGAGCGGCCGACCGAGGGTTGGAGCTTACCTAAGTCAGCAAGCAGTTGATGCGCATCGTCGGCGTGCGCCCCGGCGCTTCCAACTAAGAATAAACTCCTGCAGCAGGATCACAAGGAGAGCTCACGGAGGCGCTGGGAAAGAGCAACTCTCTGCTGCTCCCACCATTCCGCCCCTGCACCACCGCGCGTGTGCATGGGGTCTGCATGCCCATGGAGGTCTCCTGTGGGAAACCCGCTGGAGCTCTCTGTGGGGTAACATCACGTGCATGAGCGTTTGCAGAGCCAGATGCAAACCTTGCTGCTCTCTACATGAATCTTTCACAGCCCCAAACCCACAGCTCTGCCCAAACTCCGCTGTCCTGGTGCACTGGCCTGGGGCTCCATGTTTTCAGGAAGGTCAAATCCTAATCGTGGGTACATCTGCATTACCGAGGAGCATCATCTGAGCTCTGTACTGCTCCTTGAGTAACTGCAGTGGGAACAGTGCCTGTGCTTTTTAACCATAACATCACTTACCAGATTAGCCACTGCCGTGGTTTACCTAGGGTGTTGTCATGGTTTAACCCCAGCCGGCAACCAAGCCCCACCCAGCCGCTTGCTCACTCCTCCTGGTGTGATGGGGGAAGAGAATTGGAGGGGTAAAAGTGAGAAAACTCATGTGTTGAGACAGTTTAATGTGTAAAGCAAAAGCTGTGCACACAAGCAAAGCAAAACAAGGAATTCATTCACCACTTCTCACGGGCAGGCAGGTGTTCAGCCATCCCCAGGAAAGCAGGGCTCCATCACACCTAACAGTGAATTGGGAAGACAAACGCCACCACTCCGAACGTCCCCCCCCTTCCTTCTTCTTCCCCCAGCTTTATATGCTGAGCATGACGTGATATGCTTTGGAATATCCCTTTGATCAGCTAGGGTCAGCTGTCCCAGCTGTGTCCCCTCCAAACTTCTTGTGCACCCCCAGCCTACTCACTGGTGGGGTGGTGCGAAGAGCAGAAAAGGCCTTGACTGTGTAAGCACTGCTCAGCAGTAACAAAAACATCCCTCTGATACCAACAGTGTCTTCAGCACAAATCCCAAACATGGCCCCATACTAGCTATTGTGAATAAAATTAACTCTATCCCAGCCAAAACCAGCACAGGTATGAAGGTATAAATTAGCTCCATCCCAGACCTCAAGTAATGGCACCAATGGCAGAAAGCTTGCGACACCTCCAGCAGGCAGCTGGTCTAGCCCTGGGGAGGGTGGAAAGCAGCGAGGGGCTTAGATCGGGAAGGGGAGGAGAGCCCCAGAGCTCCCACAGGCACTGGGAATGACACGTCGTGACGGTCCCACAGCATCCAAAGAAACACCTGGCCTGGCAGAGCTGGTGCCAGCAGCAATTTGGTCCTCCAGTCCCAGTTTCATTGCCTGAGACAAATCCCAATTCCCTCCCTACTCCAGCACAGCATGGGCTGAAGCACGCTGGTTACTGCCAGGCCTCCTGCCCAGGGCTGACCGCTAAGGGCTCAGTGGCATGTCCCTGGCCCCTCTTTCTGCTCCTGCCATAGTGAGTGCCTCCAGATGAGCCACCCTGCCTGTCACACGGAGCTTGGTGCCACCTCCGGGGCCTTCTTCTCCCAGACACGTCCCCAGTTACAGCCACAGACTGGCCTGACCCGAGAGATTTAGTGGGGAGGTTCCCGGGGAGGCTGCCATCCCCTCTGCCCTCACGTCTGCAGGCAGGATACAAGTTCCCCCCCCCAAGCCCGCGTTGCACGGACGCGGCCCCCTCTCCCTCGACAGCGGCGAGGACTCAGGGGGAAGGCCTGGGCCCAGCGGTGGGTCCCGGTTAGCCGCGGCGGGGCAGCCCGCAGGCGCTGGGACAGGGTGACCGTGACGCCGAGAGGGAACAGGGACTACTCAGGCTCCCCTGCGCGCAGCAGACCCAGCCCTGCGGGAGCCCGCAGCAGAAACGAACCAGCCCATCCCCGTCCCCGTCCCCCGCCGCCATTTTGCGCCTCCACCCCCCCCGCCCCTCGCTCTCCCTACCCAGCACGCCCCGCGAGCAGCGCCTACATTTCCCATGAGGCCCCGCGCCGGCCCGGGCCGGGAGGTGGAGGCAGGGCGAGAAGTGCGGTCCGCGCCCGCCAGGGGGCGCCGCGGGGCGGGGCGGGGCGGGCTTGGGCCGTTGCCGTGGTGATGCGGTAACGACTTCCCGGCGGCGGCGATTGGCTGCGGGGTGCTGGGTATGCGGTGGCGTCAGGGCGGGCGCGGTGACGTGCAGGGG